CTAAGATATGCTTTATGAGAGCCTAAAATCACTACTTTGATTTCGATCAGTACTAAAGCAACCCTCTAGAGGACAAAATATTTCCTTGTAAATTTATCCTCTCAAGGTGAAAAGTTGAATGCAGAAGTATTGGCTTGAAAAAAATACGGCATGACTTAAAAGAACGTTCATAGATCAGTCATAATCCTGCAGACTAATTACTTTCTTCATCTGAATTTCCAACATGAGACTAATAGTTTCTGGTTACAACTAATAGGTTCGTGATTAGAAAATGGGACAGCCAACTTACAGGCTAATATGCATGTTTACCAAGGAACTGAAGTTCATTGGAACGGTATATGCTTAAGTCGTAATCCCCTATTAGGACTTGAAGTTCCAACTTAAAAGATCAATCTTATTAAAAGGAATAGTCTAAACCCTTATAAATTGGTCTATATTTTCTTCTTTATTCAACGTAAATATCCCTTAACATGTCTCCATCAAATTGTGACTCGATTGAGCAGACCAATCTTCAAATTCGTATGCTCGTTTTTGAGTCATAATCGAATTGAATTGCTCGTTGAAGTTTAATGAGTTCTGATACTATATTAAGATTTGGAATTTCATTTTAAAATGTCAATATTATTAAAAGGAATAGTTCAACCCTTTATAAATTGGTCTATATTTTCATCTTTATTCGATGTAAATATCCCTTAACATCCACTATGACTTTTTAGTGTAATATATAATTTATTATAAGAGATAGGAAAAGAAAAAGATCGAATATTAAATTAAAAGAATGGGATGACACATTCTTCACTCCATCCATTTATAAAACTGGAACAACCTATGACAAACAAGCAAGCGTAATGATGTCTTTTTAATGACTGGTTAATAAAAAGGCCAAGATACTAATTCCGATGTAATAAGCGAAAGGTACAACACCCATAGTGCAACAAAGGGGCAGATATCACATTCAGTTCTTAATAATTCTTGTTCTCCATTAACGATTTATAGGCAAAAATAATTGTCATGACCTACCCTAATGTGGTTCCTGATTGGAGATGGACTGTTCTTTTCTTTTTCTTTTTTCCTTTTTTCCCCCCTTCCAGTCTCGTGACGAACTCAGAAATGGAATCCATGTCAATTTTATATTCATTACAGGAACAATTCATCAGTGTCTGAAGTTTCTCCCTTTATTTGTAACACCCCTGTTCCATTCTTGGGCAAACCATCCATCCCGGTGGTTCAATAACGATTTTATTGTCAAGCTATCTGACAATTTCGATGTTTTGAAGTGCAGTATCCTTCATCCCTTATGAAGTTCAGATGGCTTGGATCGACCTCTAGATCCTAATTGACCCTGACTAACTCCCATAAACAAAAATACAAAATCATGAAATCAAGAGGCTAAGCAATCCGGGACATACAAAACTCGTCGCATTAACCATGAAAAATGAGAAGAATTTCATTTCATATTGATGATGAAATGAACGGTTGTTCATAGAAACTACTACTCATTAATAACTACACAGAGATATTCTACATTAAAACATAATTTGAGAATTTTGAGTACTTAATTATTTTCTTTCTCCTGATGATAAGCAAATTACAATGATTTAAACTCCAATACTCGCATCCAAAAGATTCAGCATTCCATACCTGTTGCTGTACCGGCATGCAACGCGCAAGTTTTAGACGATGCCTGGATGAGTCATTTGGCAATATCCATTTACAAGGAAAATTCAACTTTATACTAGCGGCCATGCTCAATGCTCATTGTTTAGTTGCCAAGAGTTTCTTCTAGCCCACACCATTTCCTCCTTGCTATAACCATCCGTCACCACTCATTTCTGGTCCAAAATCTGCCCCTCCATCCTATCTTTATCACAGAAAGGCCACCCACACTCCACTTGTGGCTCAAAATTTAAGCCCCACATCGCATCAAATGTCAACTTGGAAGCTTGATTTACAATATAACCCCTAATATCTCAAGGGTAGAAGTGTAAATTGAGCTCCAAAAATTTCGATCATTTTAGGCCGAGGTTGGCCTGGCTTGGGCTTACCATAACCTGGGTTTGCTGGCTAGTTTTACACCTTTTGTAGCACTTTTCCTTTAGAAAATAAGATCAAATCAAAGTTACAATCTTCCAATCTCTAAGTAACACTATTTATGAGGACTATCAATAGTTGTCTTACGTAACATACATGTGATATGCATCAAATAACAAACATATGACACATAAGACGATTACAAGTTAATTCTTAATATGAATAACATTAGTCCTAATCTTTGCTCAAATGAACAATAGATATCTTGCTCATCGACTATGAATAACATTAGTCCTAATTTTTGCTCAAGTGGACAATAGATATCTTGCTCATCGATGAAGTAATGAGATGTTATCTGGTCACCTAACTAGTATTTTAGACCCCACATTACCAGTGGGGCAAGATCAGTCCTGTACAATCTTGTTCAACTCTACTAGTGTCAATATTTGAAATTACAATAAAAAGCACAAATTTGGGATCTGACCTACCTCACTGGCTGGTGTTCATAATAATAATAATCATATGCCCCTTCATTGTTTACTATTCACAGAATTGCCACCAATGGGCGCTTAAACAAGAACAGTGAATCCAAAACCAGATCAGCAACGATGAAACTGGCAAGCTCCCTTTTCTACTTCACCGTAATTATATCACTTACCATGCCTATTATTTTGGTCATTCCTGTTCGGGTAGGCCCATATTCCACAGACCCGGCATGTAACAAACCCGATCCACGAAACTTGAGATCCGATCAAATGACAGTGATCATCAACGGCTACTCGGAAAACCGCATCCCACTTATTCAATCAATCGCCGCCGCATACTCCGTCTCCCCGTCGATCGCCACCGTCATTCTCCTCTGGTGCAACTCCTCCACTCCGCCTCAAACCCTTTCCTTCCTCGCCCAAAACCTCTCCGCCGCCATCCTCCGCCCGCCCTCCTCCAGCCTGAACCACCGATTCTACCCCTGGGATATTATCAAAACACGGGCCGTCCTCATCTCTGACGACGACATTGAACCTAATCAGAATTCCATTTCCTTCGCCTTCACCGCCTGGAAATCAAACCCGGATCGTATAATTGGGTTTTTCGCAAGATCCCACGCTTATGACTTGCAATCCAAATCATGGATTTACACCATGGAGAAAGAAAAATACTCGATCATACTAACCAAGTTCATGATCATTGATCGTACCCACCTCCAAACATACACATGCGATGACAAGTACATTAAAACCCGGCACATCGTGGATGAAATGAACAATTGCGAGGACATTTTGATGAACTTCGTGGTGGCGGAAAATGCGAACAAGGGCCCATTGTTGGTGGAAGCAAAAGGGGGTGTAAGAGACTACGGAGATGCCAGAAACGACGACGGATTGCGAGTGAGCGAGGTGGGGTTAAGCAGTAGGATAGGCGAGCATAGAAAACGTAGAGGAGAATGTATAACAGAGTTTCATAGATTGCTGGGAAGAATGCCACTGAGGTATAGTTATGGAATGGTGGTGAATTCAGTAGGGGAACAGGGATTGTGTGTGAAAGGTAAGAAGCGGGTGCCTTGTGATCAACAGATTTTTTAACAGATTTTGGAGAACTGTCAAACCAACCATAAAGTCGAGCTTGGTTTCATAATAGGATCGTTATGCTCATGAACAGATCAAGAACTGTCTGAGTCGGTCGAAGACTGCTTAGTTATTCAAAGGATTATAATTTGTATTATATTACCAAATTGTAACCCTTTTTTCCCTAATATTGAGAGATTCTTATTCGAACAATGCTCAGTGTAATCACAAACAATCCTCGGATAATGTTGTCATGTTTTGATACGTTGAATTGAATTGTAAAGTTTCATTCTCAAGCATTCCACAGTCGTATCGCTAGCGGTATTCCGGGTTTCATTTTGAAGTCCATTTCCGCTTGGCTTCCTGGAGACCATTCTCGAGCAGTGAGCAAGTCATGGACATACTGCCCGCCACGAAAAATTATAACAGGACCACTCTTTAGGTAGATGACGGTTGAGAAGAATTTATTCGCTTCCGATACCCCAAGGCCTTGCATCATAGCTGATGGGGTCTTGAGTTTTGCCTGTGATTTTGCTGAAGAGAAAGGGATTCTCCTTATTTATTTATTTTGTACTATTAGAGCTTGTTCCTTTTGGGCTTATTTTTTACGAGATACTTTTAAGTTTGACCCAGTCAAAGGACCTAATTTTTACTTTGACTTCCAAAATTATGAATATTATGACGTTGGCCTCTTGTATGGTAAAAGACAAAAATGCCCTTAAATGTTTTGTACAATTACAAAACAATATATTGTTGAAAGAACTATATTACCCTTTTAGTTAATAATTGAAAATCAAACACTTCCCCACTTATAAAAATTTCAAAACGAGCTTCCAACACAAGAAAAACTCTCATTTTTTCATCTGCTTGAACCTCAAAATCTAGAAAAACTTTGAAACGTTGAAGCCAGAAATTTTTTTCATATCAATTACTTCAAATCAATAAGTACATTTACGCATATTTAATTTCGTTTTCAGTAAATTAGTATACGTTTGAATAGAGAAATTTTATGTCGACATAGTAGTTATCATAATTTTTTTTTAACAAATCTTACAGATCAAAAAAAAATTGAACAAATGTATAACTTTAGAATCGTATTCTCCTGCACAAAAACAACCAAACTGGCTGTTTTGGCTTTTAACAGCCGAACAGTCGTCTGTTTAAACTGTCTAACTGCTTGGCTGTTAACAGCCAATTAACCGACTCTACACTGATTTTTGTTGGCACTGATTTTTTTTTATAATTAATAAATGAAGTTGATTAAAACAATTTTCTCATGCAAATATGATAATCCCCGTGTGTTATTTTGGTGATTTCGAATTGAATGAAAATAATCGGTGGGAATGGAGATGGACGAGTGACATACGTGGTTGTATTGCAATTCCCATAACAGAGAGTACACCATACGTAGAAATATACCACGATTTGCAAAATAAGCTGAATGTCGATCAATCTCAATACGATATGCAATTGAGATATCTATCCAACGGTTATAGGGATTCATCCATTCCGATGCCATCGGTATTCGTTACTAATGATGTTGAATTGAATTATCTATTAGAATTAAATAAAATGTATCGGACTCTGACTGTTCTTGGTGTGACTTTAATTACGAAAGATGTTATCGAAGGTGAACGCGAAGATTCAGATAGGGCGGATAACAATGATCGATGTTTTTGGGAGACAGTGGAGATAGTTCGTGCGGATGATGTGGGTATTCCTGAGATAGTTGCTTCTGATCGTGATGTCGCTGTTACGCGCAGAATTCCATCGACAGTTGAAGACAATGAGAATATAAACGAGTTTACAAATGAGATTTTGATTGCTTTATCCCGACAGAGACACGAGCCGGGTGGGAGCTCACATGTTGGAACAAGTGGACCATCCTCCAATTCTTCCCGTGTGGCTCCCGATGATGAGGACTTGCAGGTCGAGCAACTGTTTGAAACCAAAAAAGATTTGCAGGAAGCTGTGCACCGGCTGGCATTGAAATATATAACTTTGAGTTCAAGGTAAAGAAATCAAACAAGTTATTATTGACAGTTGCTTGCGTCGAAAACAGTTGCAATTGGCACTTGAGAGCAACTAAGATTGACACGAATGAGTGCTTCGTGATTCGCAAGTATTCACGGGAACATACTTGCAAAGTGGGAATTCTTCGAAACGATCACAGGCAAGCTCGAGCATGGTTTATTGGTCGATAGATAATGCACAAGTATCAGGATCCACGAACGATCTACAGACCTTCGGACATCATTAACGACGTCCGTCGAGAGTACGGAGTGGTCATGAGCTACCAGAAAACGTGGAAGGCCAAAGAATGTGCGTTGGAAGATTTAATGGGATCGGCTGAAGAGAGTTATGCTAAATTGGCTAGATATTGCCATAACATGGGGACAACTAATCTTGGCACGACATTTTTTATTGAGACGGGGGGCAATAATTGTTTTAAGTATTTTTTCATGGCTCTCGGACAATGTATTCAGGGTTTTCGAAATGCAATGCGACCCGTAATTCTAGTTGATGGTACAACTCTGAAAGCTAAATATTAAGGCAAATTAATTATTGCTACATGTCAAGATGCCAACATCCAAATTTACCCTATTGCATTCGGCATAGTCGACAACGAGAATGATCTGTCCATACATTGGTTCTTTTCTAAACTGAGGAAAGTGATCGGGGAAGTCGAAGACCTTGCCTTTGTAACCGATTAGGGACAGTCTATAATAAACGGTATCGCTGAAGTTTTTCCCGGGGCACATCACGGGTATTGTATGTACCATATACAAGGTAATTTGAAGACTAGGTATCGGGGCACAGATATCATTCATTGTTCAGAAGAGCAGTCGAAGCTTACAGTGCTGAAGAGTGTAATAAGTTCATACTTGAGATAGGAAGTAAATCATTACCGGCGTTGGAGTATCTGACGAAGATGGAGATCGAACATTGGGCGCGGTCATACTTTTCAGGACGTCGATACAATATGATGACGTCGAATAATGCGAAGTCTCTCAATGCATTGTTTAAGAAGAATCGAGAGTTACCAATTCTCGCAATGATTGAGAACATTCGTAACAAACTACAACAATGGTTTCATGACCGACGTGCGGCATCACAGAGTTGCACTAGCGAGTTGGCCCCAGCTCGAGAGGAGCAACTGTTTAAGGCGGCAGAGGTTGTGAGGAAGTTGAATGTGAAAGCACTAGATGAGTTTCGCTTTTCCGTGCAATGTGCACGTAATACGGCATATATGGTGAACTTGACTGATAACACATGCACTTGTACGAGATTTCAGTTGGAGAGTTTTCCATATGAGCATGCAGTTGCGGTGGCCATGTATCAAGGCTTTGCTGCGAGAACGTTATGCTCTTTGTATTATACGACTGAGTCTTGGAAAACAGCATATGTCGAGACTATATTTCCTCTGCCGAATGAACCCGAGTGGGAAGTTCCCGAGCACATTCTCCCATTTCATAATTTGTTACCACCAACAGTTGAACCGCGTGGTCCTGGACGTCCAAGTACATCTAGAATACCATCTACCGGAGAGTTTCCTCGACCGCGTAGGTGTAGCTGGTGCAGAGCCATAGGGCATACTTGACAATTTTGTACCAGTCAAAATTTCCCTAAATGACGACTAGACAGGTACGTGAAATGAATAATATTTCCTTTTACTTTACACTGTTCAATAGTTGTTCTTTATAAATCTTCCATATTCAATAATTATTCTTGATAAATGGTATTTATAATGATTCATATGAAAAAAGTAGTTCCATACTCGGCATACGTGTAAAATAACAAAAAATAATTAAATTTTCAATTTGAATGTTATATACATTGAATACAAATTTACAATTATTTCATAATTACAAAAATAATTAAATTTACAATTGAAATGTTACATATATATAAATGAAATTTACTGGTCAGCATTAAATTCGAACAAATCACATGCTAGCTTCTTTCTCCAGTTATGTATCCACGATTGGTTGATTCTATTAACCTTATGTCCTATACTTAAAGATTCAACGTATTTAACGGCAAATATGCCGCAGTCGCTGTTGCAATTGAACAAAAATGGATCAGCTCAATACTGTGTAAATAAAAACTAAATTTGAAAGATGAAAACAATAAAGTTCAAACACTTACTTTTCGGACTGTGCGCTGTCGTCGTGTTTCGAACGATCCGCAATCTGTCATGTACATTTATCCTCGCTGGTCTGGCCATCATAGGAACAATTACAACCATGGACTCCAGGTTTTGCTCCAACTGGCCTTGTGTCAAACATGAATGATCTGAGTCGTACACATATATAGTCGAATCAGCAAAAACGATCTCTAGCGTAGCATAGTGTTTATTGATGCATGCTGGAATGTACATATGTGTACAACCCTCCCATGATTTTTTCCCCCGACACTCGGTGACAGTCCTATCACCCACTCGAGCATATATTCTGGCACCGTGTACTCGTTACCCATCAGTTCGAGCGACTGATACTCTATGGTAACGGCACGCAGGAACTCGGTGTTTAATATGACTCGACCATGGACATCAAATAATTTTGGATGTCTTTGAGCTTGATCTCGCAGCAAGTCTATGGCCAGGTCGATGTGCTGTAGCAGGAAATACCAAAAAAGTATGAGTTATTCATTTAATAAACACAAGGTCACATATTCATAAAAACACGAAATGAATAGTTCACTTACATCGTCAGCGAGCCAAGCTCCCGCAGTGGTGATATCGGAGAACCACTTGTAAGGGTCCGAGATCGTCCTTTGACCTATCGTGCGGTTAACTCTGTAAAAAATAGGGAAATGTTAAAATAAGCTAGACGAGTTAGCATATAGTACTTTATTAAAATCATAGAATACTTACCCGGGGATAATTCCCCTCTACTTTGTCTCGAACGCTTTCCACCTCTCTGAATAAGTTCGGGTACGTCCCATCAATGAACGTCCTCCTCTTGGCTTCAGCCGTGAAGGGGAAAACAACATACTGTGACGGCACTTTCAACCTCTTGCCAACCACCTGCTCCGTCTCGTCAATAGCATGTCTCTTACCCTCAATCACGCCGGGCGTCCTCTCGACCTCTGGGGCCACCTCCTCCGCCCCTCCCGTCGGGGCCACCCCCTCCGTAGTCCCCTCTTCCATCCCCATCGGGGCCACCTCCTCTATAGACAACCACAATAACTCCAATGTCTCATTACGTCAAAAATGTGGGTGACCCCCCTCTCCATTACCATCTCTGCCACCCTCTCGATCATGATCTCCGCCATCCCCTCTAACCCCCCATCGTCT